CCAACTGTGACCTAGACAAAGGCATTCTTAAAATACTAAACAGCATCACATACACTCTTCTAAACCAAGATTACTTTATTACATTTATAGGTTAATGTGCTATCTGCTCATGTAGATGAATTAATAAAAGAAACCTTGTTCTCTTTAAAAATAAACCCTTTCTTGGCTTGCTCTTTCAGTCAGGGTTCTCTCGTCATTTTGCACCTGTGGTATATTGTATCTTTCACTTGCTAGGAAATTGTTACTGTTATATCAATACACTGGGACTAAGAAGACCTATATTCCAACACAGATCTGTCATAGGCTTCCTATGTGATGTTGAGCTTTAAGCTAACATTTCTTAAAATTGTATCTATTGCCTATCTTGGATGTCAACCACTAGAGCCCAACATAGTCCAAATACGTTGTAGCTACCACTGCACAGCAGAACATCGTAGTTCAATCAATGAGCAGAATGGCTGGGATCTTCTTTCAACAGTTTGTCTTCTTTGATACAATTGGTTTTCACCAGATCTGAGAGAAGCAACAAACTGAATGAGAGACAGACTCACTTGGGCTTTAATGAAAAGATGATTATCAAAAAGTCTAAGCTGGACATAGTTGATCCCACGCTGAGGCTCAGGAAATCTCCATCTTAGCTCACATGTTGTATTTTAGTATTGTTATACTGTGATATATTTTATAACTCTCTAATTCAGTAAACTATATCAGAGAAGTAAAGAGGCTAAGCAATAAACTGTAGTCTTGACCACAAATTGCAACCCTGAGCCCCCAGTTTTAATTTGATTTCCTTGTACTCTTTCCCTTTCTCCATTGCACAAGTGAAGCTGTCTTTTGCTGCGGAACTGCACGAAACAAAAACCTAATGAGAGCATGTAGAGCTGCTTAGTTTGGCCTCTGCTGATAATGGAAAGCACAAGCTGCTTGATTCTATCCACAGGCATAGGTATACCACTTCCATCCATCTGGTAAAGCATTTGATAGGATCTGCATGTCTGCAATAAATTGGCTCTAGGGACAGCAGTTGATCAGATAGTTGCTCCGTGGGAAATAAACAGGGCTCCCATGACACAGTAGAAACGTCAAGAGGCTATTTTACAGTATCTGAATGTGGGGGAAGAAACCAAACAAAACATTTCTTCCTGCATGCACAGCACAAAAGTTTGGTGAAAACTGAAACAGTCTATTCCCCCACAACTTTCACAATCATCTCATGAAATTTCACAATTCAGTAACAGTAAACTGTCTGTTCTGCCTACAAATTACAATCAAATACTGTCCCATGTACCCAGCTGAATATACTGTCTTGAACTGAACAGACCCACACTTCCCATTCAGCACTATTTAACATGTGAAGGTATATCCATGCTATCTGATCACAGTGACAAAAAATCAGTTTCTCGCATCCCAAACCATAATCCTAGACCTGAAGTAAAACCACTCTGGACAACTAAATAAAGCCAAAAGTAGCTCTGTAATTCAAATTTACAAAGCAGAAAAAAGCAACTTTTTACTTGTAAACTTAAGTTGTATGTTGATCTAAGCAGCTCTCTATTGCCAGCCAACGACACTCACAACTAGTGTCATTAAATGTCTTCCTGCCTGACAAAGGAAAGCCCTAATTCTCTTAATACTTTGTTCTTGAATCCTGTGTTCAGCTCTGGGCCCCTCACTACAAGAGAGACGTTGAGGTGCTGGAGGGGGGCCAGAGAAGGGCAACAGAGCTGGTGCAGGGCCTGGAGCACAAGTGTGATGGGGAACGGCTGAGGGACCTGGGGGGTTCAGTCTGGAGAAGAGAAGGCTCGGGGGACCTGATCACTCCCTACAACTGCCTGAGAGGAGGTTGTAGTGAGGTGGGGTCGGTCTCTGCTCCCAAGGAACAAGGGACAGGACAAGAGGAAACGGCCTCAAGCTGCACTAGGGGAGGTTTAGATGGAGATGAGGAACAATTCCTCCCCCAAAGGGTGCTCAGGCATTGGAACAGGCTGCCCAGGGCAGGGCTGGACTCACCATCCCTGGAGGTATTTAAAAGACCTGTATATGAGACACCTAGGGACATGGTTTAGTGACTTGGCAGTGTTACATTAATGGTTGGACTTGATGATCTTAAAGGTCTTTTCCAACCTAAATGATACTATGATTTTATAAACCAGTGTAATTCCAACTAGGCACCTCAGGACCTTGTGGCTGTGTCTAGCAGTTCAAAAACCGAGTGGTGCCATAGTTCTACGAATAGTTTTGGACCAAAGAGCCTCGATGCTCTTTAAAGGACCATAAACTCATCCATGGCATATTTTTATTTCCTGGTATCAATTTCCCAAGACACTAAAAATGATAAAAACCCAAGCAAACACCACCTCTCTGTGAGACTTAAACCATAAGAGATGAAGTCTTATAAAAGAAATGGCTGTAGAGATCAGTGTAACACTTAAGCAGTTAGTTCATATGCAGACAGTCTGCTCTAGAAATTCTATTTATGGGACCAGTCCTGGCTTCACTGAGTTGTCTGAAGTGGTTTTACCTCAGACCAAGGATGATAGATTGGGATGTGAAAAACGAAATTTCTAAGAGAGGTTCGCTTCCTGGCTTACTTCATCAACTATTATGAGTAAACATAAACAAGGGCTGGGATGTTTCAACTTCCAAAGCGCAGCCAAGCCAAGAACTGTATTACCTATTCAACACAGTTGAACAAACAAAATAATTTTCATCTCCCTGCAATAGAAAAAATGTATTCAGTTGTTCCCAAAAGACAAGATACTCATGTTAGTCTCATTCCTGTTTGATACAGTATCACTAGGTCATCATGCTCACCTCACTTTTCTCTCTCGGCATTATCTACTCTTATCCCTTACTTTTTTTACAGAACAGTTCATGAAGCAGTTAAACGCTGTCCTATTGCTTTTCACAATACAACACTGGATTAAAATGGCATACAGGCAAGGCATGGATAGCAACTGCTGTCCTTGCCCACGCTGATTCACTGTGCTGGTCACTACATTGCCACAGATGAAAAGCCCTTCCCATGCAGCGACTGTATGGGAGACCCTAAGAAAGAGATTGAGAATAGGTGTTGCACCATACATCTCTATAGCAACACTCTGTGGCAGGATGCAAAGACACCCTTGATGCCTATGGTGTGAAGAGAAATGAAGCTATCACAGGTTCTACAAAAGCTGAACAGAGCATAACAAGTAATTTGTTTATGGTACTTTTCTTCTTTCTCTGTGGGTTTTGCAGCTTAACCTCTATGCAGACCTCAGAGTAGCTCTTAGAGCAGTTGTTTAGTGCCAGTAAGTTCTCCACAATTTGTCAGAAATATTTCACTCTCCCTGTCTTGAAACACTGTCATTTGAATATGCCAAGCAAGAAGTAAACTTGTCTGAACACACTTCACAAGCCCCTCATACTGTCTGTTGTTAACTAAGGACCAGGCTCTAAGGATTCAGTGGGTAATATTTACTGATTAGTATTTAAGACAACAAGAACAAAAATAATTTGTGAACTATTCGTTCTGAATAACCATGATCCACCGGTCCTATGAGAACAGCTCCGTTCCATACCTCCCTTGATTCCCAAATCTGTAATTCCCAACACTGTACTTGCATGTCAGCAGGTAACCTAAGCTTTCAAATTATTTGGGTTATTTTTATCTAATACATATCAAAATGTTAAGTTGCATTCCTGCATGATTACCATGTTAGGAATACGTTGCAACAATTTACTGTTCTGTCAAGGAACAGCCAAGCAGCACCGGGACTGAACGATAGAGTGTCCTACTGTAGATCTCAGAGTCCTTGAGTCCCTGTGCCTTTACTGGTGGTATTTCCAGGTGTCATTCCAGACTCTTCAAGGAACATTTCTTTGGGATGTGTGGTGGCCTGGTGGTCTGTTCTGTGGATCACTCCAATGAATTTATGTTTCACTAACATTGAACTACATAGGAGAAATCAAGTCACTTATTTTGTTTTAAAATTATCTACATTCAGAATATAAGACACAGCTTATCTTTTTCATTTACAGTTTCAGACATAAAAAGAAAAACCCTCAAATGAAATCAGTTTCATTAAGTCTTGTGTTGCAAAGCAAACAATAGGTTCTGCCTTAGAGAAAACACCCAGAAAGCAGGGTGTATTCTTTATGCCTATCAGATGGCATTAGAACTGTGTCATATAAAGAGATGTCAAAACAGAATACATAACAGTGTAGATGCATTTGAAATCTACACCCAAATCTCTCTTCAGTTAGTAATCTGAACGTAAGGCTCAGCTGGAAATGGTGCTGCCACTGCCCCTCTCAAAACTGCTCAAAGGTGGATAAAGAAAAGATTCATTCCTCTCTTTCCAAGACAGCAGCAGCAGCTGAGGAATGGCTTCAGGCCACTCAACCTCACTTGCATCCCAGTTAACAGCTGTGCAAACCACAGAAACTCTACTTCCCAGAGGTTTATGACTTTTTTTTTCTCTTTTGATGTGTTGTTTATATAAACTCAAATGACTTCTGCTTTGAACCAATCTCTGTACTCGAGAATCTTCTGCTCATTGTACCTGTATGTTTTGAACAATGAATGAACAATACACTTTGTACAAATTTCATCTCCAAAGAAATAAAAAGGATTATCCCTAAGAAACTATTTTAAGAGATAATATAGTTGATTGTTTTGTAATTCGGAATGCATTAGAATTCACCAGAAACAACCATGCTATTGCTCAGTGCTGATGTGCATGGCTTAGAAGCACAAGACTACTCCCTGCAAAACCAGACTGATTTCTTGAACCAAAGTCCTAAAGACAGGCAATTTTAGAAATAACTACAGCCAATCACTACACATTTGACTTAGAAACAACCTTAGGCATGATGGTATTACTTTCTGAGATCTGAATACTTAGCAAATAATGAAGAAACAATAAAGTCTCTTCAGGTTTCGCATACATCACCAGAGTTTATACTGTATTTTTTGAGTTAGAAAGGCATAAACCAGTGAACTAATAAAGACTTACCTGCTGAAAGAATTCACATGCTTTAGCAATGTTTTCTGCATAAGCTCACAAAATGAACTGAAACAGCACTCTTCCAATTTAATCTTCAGTGCATTAATCAGGAACAAGAACCATATTTTCATGCATGCTTATGCAGCATCTAGCACAGTTAACTACAGTTCAGTCCAAGTTACTAATATGCAGACAGACCTCTAAGTAAGAGTGAGTGCAGTTCCAACTTCCACAGTCAAGGATCTTGCATTTGAACATCCTCAGAGATAAAAATGAGTACACCTTTCAAACCCATTTGAACTGGCTGGCTGTTACTGCACTCTGTTCCGAATACCACAGTAAGTTCTTAGTTCAGGGTCTGGTCCAGAAAACCTACTGACCCTCTGCTTTTACCTCTGAAGTAATACTTATGCTAAAGCTCTCTCTGCTATTTGGCAGCCGAAACAGAAAACCGCCATTGGATGCTATTCCTCCTTGGAGACCAGGCTGCTCCAGGCCACTAGCTCAGGATGTCAGGGAGGTAGTTGCTTTGCAACTCTGTCTGTGGAGCCTTGTTCACAGTTGAAATCAGCTGCACATGAAAGACGGCCAGTGCAACTCTTGTCCAGCCCTATGCTCCCAACTAGGGGTGTTGTGGTTTGAACAGAAGATAAATTCCCAATCAAGTCTGGACTCTGATCCAGGCTTAAATTATAAACCACAATGTTCTTCTCAGCCTTCTTGCTTTACAGTTTATTGCCAGCAGGTGGTGGACATTAACAGAGTGATTTAAATCATAATAAATGGAAAAAGGAAGGAGACCACAGATGACTAGATATGAAGGCAAAAGGACATACAGGATAAAATTAAGAGCACTTAGCTCACATGAGAATAAATGCAGAAGAGTCAGTGAACACTGAGTGAACATGTAAAATTAAGGCATTCAAAGAAACATGATTCTGGGCAGACAAGCTGGGAACAAAATGAAGATTGCAAATGACAAGTAGATACATGGCGCACAGTGACGCAAGAAGGGAGGCTCTGCATGCCATGCTGACTGTCAGAAGCACGGAAAAAGATGGAAGAGAAAAAAAAAGAGACAACTAAGCAGTTATGCCAAGGATGAAGACATATAATGTAACATGCTGAAAAGCTCAGGCGACGTGCACTGAACCGGGACAATAGAAGCCTGGTGATCTACTTTGTTTCAGACAAACAGCTTTTCAGAGTAAAAGAAGTAGAACTGAATATGCTTTTTGCATGCTTTTTTTTTTCCAAAATTGGAAATTTAACTATTGCCAAACATACAGCAAAGCCCATTTGTACTGGTTTTTATCTACTTATTTACAGAACCTTCAATTTTCATAAAAGTAATTCTAACAATGCAAAGACTTGGGGATTTAAGACAGGTGATATAAAAACCTCGTGTTATTGGCTGTACATATAAAGATGCTGTCTTTTTCTCTATCCTACCAAGGAAAAATAATAACATTAAAAGGTATTATAATAAACCACCCTAAAGTATCTCTATGCACCACAAGCACCTGTAATCCTACCTGTATTCCTTATGGTCTTGCATATCTAGACTTCAAACTTCTTTGCAAAGCAATAAATTCACTCTTAACCTTTCTAACCCATGATCAACATAAATGCCAAGGAGCATCTTATTTTTCACCTATTTCCATCATGGAAAAAAAAAGGTGGTTCGTGTTAAAAAATCCAGAGATCATCTCCGTCACTATGTCTATCATCTGTCACATTCAGAATACAAAATAGAAAAATAAATACTACCTGGATTTTCTATCAGAAAAGCATTATAAAATAAATAAAGAAAAATGCAAATTTCACTTTATTTAACTTTTCAGTTATTTTAACTTTTCAGGAATTTTGTTTTTGAAGGAACTTAGTCAAAGAGGAATTTTCAGTCTATAAATTAGATGTGTTAAATATGACTGCAAGTAAGAAGTCAGAATGAATACTATAGTAGCATTGTGACAGGAAGTAGTTTGTTGACCAATACTAGACTGCAGGAAGGCAAAAGTACACTTCTTTGTTTAACATTATACTTAAATAAATGTCTCTGAAGTGAAAACACTACATGAACAAAATGTTAGCCCAGTTGTCCAGCATCTAATTACATTGTCAGTGCCCCCATTACAGCACTTATACCAGGTTTATAATTCTGGCCTTCACAATGATTTTTCTTTCCTCCAGTTTCAAGTCTATGAGCACACCATAGTGCTTTGTTGTATTTGCTTACACCACTGAAACCAGAGTGTCACCTCTGGAGTCAAGGCCTTGCCTTGCTGCTGAGCAGCGCTGCTCTCTGCTGAATGCTGCTTGCACACACTGTAGTTCTTGTGTTTTGGCATCAGGCTGGAATTACTAAGGGCTTCCATTGTCCTGAGATCAACAGGTGCAGAACGTCTTTGGGGTTTGAATGCTGTAGTTATCAGACCACCAATCAATGGTCTTATGTTATAGCAGTCAGACTAAAATGCTAATTGCCATTAATGCTTTTCCACTATGGCATTCAACTCAATTGTGTTCTTTTAGTCCCAGAATTGTTGATATGTGAGACTGTCCAATTAATTTCAACAGAGCACAGACATACACCATCCATAGGAGCACTGAAGCGGTTAAACAAAATCTTATAATCAGATTAGATTTTGATTGAACTCGTATCTGCCTTCATCTATGAAATTGCACTGAATTGCACTACAGGATATATTGATAGCTAATTTACATGGAGACATTCACTGCATTTTAACCTTACAGTAAATCACAGTGAATCATAACAGTCACGCCTATTCACATCAGCCCTAAAACTATATGACAGCAAGGATCCATGGAGCACTAGAAACTCTTCTGTTAACTAGCAAAGGGCCCTGTTGTAACAGATTATTGGACCACAGGCTTGGGGTTTATTGGAAGGGAAGGGAATTATTCAAAACAGAAGCCACATTCCAGCTTTCAGATGTAGCTTGAAGAGTTTTAAAAGCTTGGATGTGAAGCTTTACTTCAGTCATCTCCAGTAAAAATCTTTAGTTGTGTATCCACCAGACTTTTTGAATTTGAGATAATTAAGATAGTATTTCTGTTTCTGACACCTGTTTAAGGTCTTAAACTGCCACTGAAACAGGAGTTAAGAGGTGAAATGCATAATTGCTCGTGTCATTTAACGCTTCCAATTTACTTCAGATACCCTGCTCACCTCTGGGCTCTCTGGCTAGTGTTGCATACTAAACCCAGCCCGGACTGGGTCATGCATTGCATGCCCTCTGTGTTGCTTTTTGGCAACTGGCTCTTCAAGGCCCCACCAACAGGCATAGCACTTCTCCTCCACATCCCAAATTTCTATTAGCTCTTCAGCTCCAGCAAGTCTCCAGAAAGATGTGATGTATAATTTGGGCAGCTGCTTGCCTCACATCTACTACACTTTCAGGGCTTCCCATGACCTCCAGCTGCAGACAGAAGCAAAGGCTCATGGCAAGCTTTTGACCCTGGGAAACCCCTCTTGTGGGAAAGATTTAGAAGCAGCTGCCCATCCAGCACAGCCCTGCTGTAATCCCAAACTATGACTTCTGAGGGATCAGCATGGAAGGCAAGCTAAAGCATCTTGGGAGTCAAATGCGTATCATGTAGGATGAAAGTTAAGAAATTCAGTTTCAGCTGATGAGCACCTAACAGATGTAGATGGACCATATCCCACAAGTCTGCTCACAACAAGTTCTTCTCTTATTTTTATCACTGTTCCTTTTTCTGATAATTTCTGATAAAATAATATTCACATTGGTGCCCTGTTCTAAGGATTGTATGCTTCATTCCTACTGAAACTCCTGTGCCTTGCTTTTGGAAGTTGTAGTCTTAACTGCATCCAAACTATACATCTAAATCTTTACCTCTGAATCCTGACTTTAAAGAAAACTCATTTATTTGTAGAAGACATGGAACTAGACTCCAGGAAGGGACCCAGCTAAGCAGTCCTAAAATCAGCTTTATGGTGGAGCTAGACCAATGTCAGCATGGTCTAGCCTAACACATGAGAACCTCTATTTGTTCAGGATTAGCATTTTCTGTTTGCACAGAAGCCTCAGAAAACATTGATACTCAAGATTTTGTGGCTCTTTTATTTGTCTGTGCCATTTCCTATAATCAGATAATAGAAGTTTCACAGAGAACTCATAAGCTTTTCAATGGAATATGGAAAATGTGATTTCATAACTCTGAATGCAATCATTTGTGCTCAACAGGTGATCTAACTTCAACGCTTAAGCTCAGAGTAACTGAATTTGGGAGCTCAACTTCAGGCAAATTTTTGGTACACAGCCATGTGTAGAAGAAAGATCTCTGACTCTGCTGTTTTTCAGTACAGTCAAGCAAAGCCACGATGCTCAGACTTTAAATGCTTCAGTATGGAAACTGGCATCCGACTTTGACAGCCACTGTGGAAGCAGAATGGAAGCAAGCAGGAGAAAGCACTCTTCAAAAAATAGTTGATCAAAGAGAATTTTCTATTTCAGAGGGTTTTGTTATCTTTTCCGAACTATGTATGTGATTGTTTCTGATAGCATCCACAACAGGGTATACTTACTAAGGATGCTGAATGCAGTGTAACTGAGAAAGAAACATATTTTCCATGAACAAAGCATAGCTCAGTATAAAATGCTCAGAACTCTTCAGAGGCAGGGAGGTAAGAGAAATTCTGCCGGAAATATTCACTGTGTAGCCTGGTCATAAACTTTGCCTGTCTTCTTTTTAATTCAGGTTTCTCTATCATTTGGGGGTTTGCTAGGAAAGAAAATGTTTTAATGGAGAGGGGTAGGGAGGGGAGCAACCCATGGATTTTGGATACCAGTCCTGAAAGCAAGGATTGCTTCTGCACCCATTATTAGGATGTTGTATACGTTATTGCATGCCTGGGTGTTACAGGAAGTTCCAGGAGTGACAGTTACAGGAAGCCCAGCAAGTGAATAAGTGTAGTCCCCTTAGCCATTTCCAATCACAGTCTGTGTGATGCAACAAGAAGGGGTTTGCACGATGTGTTAAAACAAATATCTGCGGTGAAGACAATCAATATACACAGCATCTCTTGGTCCCAGAAGCACATAAAAGTTTAGAGAGTTTTTCCCTCACTTCTAATTCTGGAAATCTTTGAACTATATTACAAAAACTGGACATTGCTGTCACACACAGAGTGTGCACACAAATGAGTGTGCACAAATCGCATAAGGCACTGTATGAAACCAGACTCTTCTTCCTGCTCGCTAATGACTAATTCACATTAAACAAAATGAAAATAAATTCCCACTGACTCCCTCAAGAACTGAGGCCAAAGAAGAATCCACCTCTCATAAGAACATCCCCAATAAAAGCACACAGTGGTTTTGATCTGACAGATTATTGCTCTTTTATAGAGATTTGTTTAAAATATTTGATTACTCTACTTAATAATGCTTTGTTGTACAGGACAAAAGTATGGTTTGAATTCTGTTACAGGCACTGACAATATTC